ACTGTTCCACTAATACCAGAACATCGCATGTCTCTACTGTCTGCGGCTCTATCATTTCTTCCTCAATGTCAACAAATCACCGTTCTAATACTGGACTCCAATCATGGACCTCAATCCCTCATCTTCCACTGTTAACACCAATTTTTTCTTCCACGTTTCTTTTTTCACCACTTAAAACTGCCTTCAGAGCCACCATTGACCAAACCATAATTGAGGCTAAGTTCTTCTCTTCTTCATCTTCAAGCCTTTTCATATCCACTCTTCTCACCCCTTCCCCTGCAACCTTCACCTTTTCCTTTCTCAATTGAAACTCCTTCAGCGCCTCTGGCTATCATGGCCCAACCCCTTCTCTGTTTACCTATTGGGACGCAAATCCTCTTCAACCTCCTATTCTCCAACCGTTCTGTAAAGGAAATGAACCAACCCTTTCATTCCTCTTCAATACTGTACCAAAATCCCTGCCTTCCTTTTGAAAACTATTCCTCCACTCTGGTATCTTCACAGCATTAACAGCCACTTCCAGAAATTCCTTTAACGAGATTACCATATCTTCCATCAAAGAAATTGAAGCCCAATTTTCCTCATTGATTTCCAAACATTTCATCCCCTCCCATCTAATCTCTTCCAGTGTAAATTTCTTTGCTTCAACTATGATCTCCTTACACCAACCCATTAAACCAGGACTTCCTTCAACTATGATGTCCAAGTAGCTAGGTGATGTTAAACATGTTGCATTCTTGATACAATGAAATTCAAGCGGTTGCTGCTGCAAATCTAGTGGAAATAAAGAATTGAGTGGTAATAGTGTTAAGAAAAGAGTGTCGGTAACCTCAAATTTTCCACCCAAGAAGTTTATTACATTTAGATGGCCTTTGATTTGCCAGATTTAAAGAGGAACCACCTGCAATCTGTCTTGAATTTTGCAATCACTTGTGCTGATTGGCTGGTATTGTTCTACTTCAACTTGAAATGTTGAACCCACGGCAAGGTAGGAACCTTTTGCTTGTTCACCCAAACAGTTAACTTCTTTCTTCTACTAGATAATATAAGGTTACTAATTAGGTGATGAATCTTGAATGATATGGTTATAAGGTTCTGAAAGAGAGAAAGAATTCATGTTGACTCCCTCCGTACCCTTTGCTTCCCAAATTACTAAATTGTCTATTGACTTCCTATTTAGCCAAACCATCGGCCGAATTGTTTGCAGACCTTTGTATCCACCTAATTTGTAGTTGCATGTCTTTTGAAAACCATTTGAACTGTCTAAATTGATTCCTGAATTGCCCTCAATAATCAATCTGCCAACTCCCATTTTCTTGGCTTTTTGCACCCCAAATACTGCTACTGGGATTTCTGTCCTTGTTGAATCTGCTTCTATTGAACATGAGTACATTACAAGTATAGTTTCATTCTCATCCCTTRTTACTCTCCCAATTCCAGAAGGCCCAGGATTGCCCATGCTATTTCCAATCAAATTTCAGCTTCAACCACCCGCTGTCCAAAGGCATCCATTCCTTATTTTTCTTTTGAATTTTTAGACGAGGATCTTGTAACCGATCCCCAACTTCTAATAAATATTATCCACTGTGAATTTTTTTTTTTTTTTTGGATCAATAACACCAGTTTCATTAAATTAAGAGAAAAGAGGGAGTATGTATACAAGAGAGGAGATAAAATATCTTAGCTCCCCAAATACAGAATACAAAGAGAATACAGAGAGAAAAAATAAAAAACTAGCCCAAAATACAGACTCCCTATTCACCCCTTGCTTGGCCAACCCATCCGCAAATGAGTTGGCACTGCTCTTCACCCAGCTGTATTGGATCTCAATGTCCACTGTGAAATTTAAGAAAGCTCCATTATCTTCACCCCAATACATTACTCTTATGGTGATGGTTCAATTAATGTTTCCCTACTTCCCTCTCTTTAAATATTCGCGTACTCCGTTCTTCCCAAATTGTCCAAACCACTGTTGCTCTTGTGCATCTCCACAACACTGTCCCTTCTCCTTGGATATCTGATCATAGTCATGTCAAACAGTCTATCCCAACTCACAGCAGGAGTATACTTGCATCTAAAAAGAGCAAAAAACCATTCTCAAATACAACAACCAAAAGGACATATATTAGTAAGTGGTAAGAAGTCTCACCATTTGATCTGCACATGATACACCAGGTATGGTATAAAAGCGAATAAGGGCCCTGTTTGATGATTAAGTACTTGTTACACAAGTACTTCTTAGAAGTACTTATTTTAACAACCACTTAAGGCTGTTTGGTAACCCACTTCTCAAATCACTTATTATGTTTTTAAGCACTTATTGGGGTGGGGATGTTTGGTAAGCTACTTTCCCCATAAGTGCTTATATTGACACAAATGACAATTTTACCCTCCACTGTAGCAGATCTCTCCCTCTCCCTCTCATTTTCTTCACTGGAACTGTTGGAACCGCCGGAACTGTAGATTGGACAACAGACAGACTCATCCGATTAACAACCTTCACAAAATTCTCGGAATCCTGCAGGAAGAGTAAGCCAAATGAACGTACTCGGAGCTTAATCAGGAAAATATTGAGAGCAGATTTCTGGTTCTTCTCGTCAGGGTCACTACTGAAGTCTCCATAATCCTGCTGAATAAGCCTTACAAGGGAGAGTGCCACACTGGCTGTGGCCGATAAAAGCTGAAGCCAATAGAACAACTTACCAATGTTTCGTGACAGAAAAACCCATCTTGTGTATGGAAGCAAAGGGACATCTGATGCTGCCCATATCCGGGTTGGCATTTTCTTTTGAAGCCGATGGCTGGGTCTTACTGTGTCTGTACCCTCCTTCACACGTCGATCATGGTTGCTCTGTGGCCGGAGTACAGTGACTGGCCGGAAAATTGCAGTCACGATTTGAACAAGGAAGTGGGAGATGGATTTCAATGCCCTGAAACTATATATCCCAGCTTCTTCTATCTGCCATGTAGCCATGTAGACTGGTGTTGCCATTCAAGCTCACGACTCCGGCTGAAAATTCTGGTGCCTTCGATCAGGAGTATTGTGGTCATGAACCAGAAGTCTACGGTGTCTATTTTAATGGCAAAACCGCCTAGCAGAACAACAGTTGCCCAGGTGAAACCTAAGGCTCCTATACCGCTGGCCGTTTTTTCAAGAATCGCCAGCCGAAGAGCAAACAATGTCAGCTTCTTCTCAGGGGCATGGCCTGCCGAGACGGAACTAGAATTCTGTTGCCATGCAATTGGGGTTGGAGATTCCTCGTGGGGTTCGAAAATGGTGGAGCTTGATGGGTAGTTGGTAATCTGCACCCGGATGGCTCCATCGCCTTGAATCAACTGTGGGCTCTGGTCCATGTTTCTGGGTTTTTCAGGAGCTCCTCAATGGCCGGATGTGAACCGGAATATCAATTCAGCAACACCGGAAGTTGCAAGTACTGTGTTGAAGCTGCCTGAGATGATGAAATACAGAAGAGGAGCAGTGTTGAATTGAATATCTGTCATCATTAATTGCTGAAATAGGTGGTGGAATTCTGTTATCTTTGGCTTATCTTCATTCTGGTTATGTAACTTGGGCAGGTGGATTTCCTTGCTGTTGCTTGGGTGTTTCCCTCTTCACAAAATTCTCGGAATCCTGCAGGAAGAGTAAGCCAAATGAACGTACTTGGAGCTTAATCTCAGAATCTGGCATTTGGGGGAATGCAACCAAATGCCAGTGGACCTGCAACCAAATGCCACAACTGCCTGTTGCTGTAGGGTTTCGAATGGAAGAAGATGATAAACTCGAGTGGGGGTAGTTTTGTCATTAATGAAAAAAAACAGGGACAGGTTTGTCCCATTCGAATGAAGAAGCACTTCTTCAAAAAGTGCTGAAAAAAAAGCCACATTCATGTCACTTTTTTAAGTACTTTTTTTAATAATAATCATTTCTTACCCTCTTTTTTACCAAACACCCATAAGTACTTAAAAACCACTTAATGTGTGGTCCCATGTCTTAAAAGAAGTACTTGTTTAACCTTTGGAGGGATAGGGACACACAACATAGGAGAAGAACAAGAAGAGGAATTGGACAGGAAAGAGTTAAAGAAGGATTTGCAAGAAAAACTACCATCCAGGATAGGAAACCACAACCAGCCATCCCCAATAGAATTATCAAAAACCACCCCTCCATAAGATTCAAAAGTTTAGACACCTGGAGGATTTCAGAATCCCTTAGATTCTTCATGAGACCCAAATATCAGTCCAGCTTAGCTCCAATAGGAAGACCAATAGGTAGACGGGACTCCCTAATAGCGAGATTTCCAATTTTTCTGCAATTCTGTAATTTCTATATTTTTTTCTTTACTTTTTCTTTTTTTTATATATTTATGTTATTCAATTTATGATATTGTGGGTTGACCTGTTTGACCCAGATGGATGAACCGCTGACCTGCCATCTGTCTAGAAAAGTGGTCCCATTTCTGGGTTGGTTTTAAAAACATTGGATGGCATTCACTTTTGAAACATGCGACATAATTTTGCTTTCATCAGAAAAGGGTAACTTCTTTTAACTTGAAGAAGAAAAGAGTACGGGAAAGGAAAACCAGAGACCTATAAACATAAACTGTTCCCGACCATAAGAAAATAAGAGATCTTGCTCTTTCTTCTTTTATTTTTGGTTTTTATTTCTTTTTTTATTTTACATGTTTAACTAGTTTGATATTCCTCAATCCATAATGCATTTCCTTGAGTTGGCTTTTTATAGTGTACAATATAAATCATCTGATCAGGTTTGTTATTAACTGGCCCAAATCCATGATTGTCCATTGCTGAACAATTTTTAAGAAGGTTACTTTGTGTATTTATGTTGAAGAATTATTAGAATTATTTTTAGGATCCATGCAGAATAATTCAAAAAAGGAAAAATGCTAAGAAAGCATAATTACAAAATACTTGTTTAGTATATCTTATTTGCATTTTCCCTTAATGCCTTCAAATTGAACAACTGTGTATTTTTTTTGCAGATCTGCTTGTTGGGTTGTTAATCCATACCATATTGAAGCTACGTGGGGTTCCTGAAAATCTTTGCATTTACTCCTTAGCAGTTTGGCTTTTTAACCCATTCACCATCACTATTGGAACTCGGGGCAATTGTGAACCTATTGTTTGTGCCATGGTTCTCTGGATTATAATCTGCATTATGAATGGTGTAAGTTCAACTTCATTTTGTCTGTTTCTTTTTTTTCAATTTTTATCCTTTTTTTCTTTTTATTCATAACAAAATTATACTAGGGGTGAAAGAATGATAAGGGAAAGGAACACTACATAATGCATTGAAGCATGAAACAAGGACTCCACAAAATTTGCTGAAGTTTTCATGATATTCACATTAAAGGGGGCCCTGAAAAGTTTATAGAGATTTCTTAATGTGTAATTCCAGCCTCAAATTGAGGACATCGCAGCAGATAATTGCAGATGTTATTTTGAAAATATCATGATGAACTGAGAACTTTATGTTAGATAAATCTTCTAAATTTGAGTTGAGGTTGGGGAATTTTTTATTACCTAAGCCATTTTTTTATAGGCATTATTACCTAAACGCATTAAACCATAAAAGCATTAAACTCCTTTATTTTTGTCTTGATATTGTTGATAAGCATAGGATAAAGTAATAACTCTTCTACGAGTTATGAGTTTATCTCGTGAGTTATTGTTAATTTGGGTAAGGCAGGAGCCATTACTTGGCATAATGGTAAAATTCCTGGGCTGGCAAGCATGAGAATGTATGTTCAAGTCTGAGAGCGGCCACTTCGTGAAAAAAAAAAAAAAAACAGAAGTCAGGACTATGTTCACTATACCCCTCCCAAGATCCCAGATATTTGGACCAACATTGTGTAATGGCCTTCTATTTTTTAAATTTGGGTAAGGTCCATTCAGGTATCTTATAAATGGTCTCCTTAATTACATCTCAAAAAAAAAAAAAACGAAGATCCTTTTATAGTTCAATTAAAGCCCAATTAACTTGTTGAATGTAGGCATTCTCCTCTTCGAAGTTCTTGAATGCAGCCAAGGTAAAGAGCATGGCTGTAGGCAAGGTTTTAAATATTGATACACCTGATATGCATGAACCTTGCGTATCAGGTATTTCCAAGGCGTACAAGCCTTTCTTTTGTTTTTTTAAAAGTCTACAGGGGGTTGGTCTTAGGCCTGGCCACCCCCTCTAAATTTCCAAAATTCCATATCTATTTTATTTAGGTGTATCAGGGTTCTGCCAGAACGATATAATACACCTTGATACATGATGAAATTTTGAATCTTGATTGTAGCCAGTTTCTTTGTGTAGCAGAAAGAAGGGACTGGAACCAACCTTTGTAAACAATAATTAACCTGATTGTAGGCATTTTATTAGGATTTTTCAGGGACTGCAATCAGCTGACTTAAATTCAACCAAGCAGTAATATTTTCTCTCCTTTTTGTTATACTTGAATTTGTAGGGAACTGCATTTAGCCATGTTAAAGAACAAGGCTTTAGTCAGTTTTCTCCAACATGCTTTTCTGAGAAAAGTAACTTTCATTCAAGGGGGGGGGGGTTGAGTATACAGAGAGAGGATGTACAGCAATCCAATCACTCCAAGCTAATCACAATGGCAAAGAACTAGCACTATACAAAACATCTCTTCCCACCCAAGACTTATCTAAAGAATCTGCCTAAACATTTAGTTACCGAATCTCATTTAAAAAGTGAGACAATCTCCAAGGCCCACCATCACTTTTGGAGGTCCAACCAATCACGTTTCTAGAATCACCTTCAACTAGCAAAGGTTGCACATGAAGAGAAATAGCCAATCTCAGACCTGTTAAGAATGCTCTATTTTCTGCTTCAGAGGAATCCACATCACCAATAGGCTCACTAAAAGTCCATATTAGGTTACCCCTTACATCAGTGATGGCACCACCAATCCCAGCCAGCTCTTGATGGCTATCTACTCTATAACTTCCACCAAACTTGAAGAAGAAGTTACAAACAGGCCTCATGTCCAGATTGTTTCAAGGCTGAGGTTCCAAACCAGAAGTTTGAAGGTATTCAAACATTTTTCTCCTACATTTCTTTTCCATTTTCTCTCTACAAGACTACTAATAATTTAACAACGGATATGTTTATAAATAGAATGAATTGGCGAAATAGGATTCATGTAGATGACCCCATATTAGTTGGGATAAGGCATGGATGATGAAGTGATGATGAAGACTGCAATTAACCAAGTTCAAGAAAAAGGCTGTACACGGTTTCACCTAGATTTTAATCCTAATTTGGGTTTCTTTTGTAGGAAAGAAAAGAGAACAAGACAGTTTTTGCCTTTATAGGAGGAAAGGAGAACCAACAATAGAAACAGTATGATATAAATTTCGTCTTGAAGAAAAGGGAAGAGAACAACATAAATGATTAGACAAAAATTTACATTATGCAGGGAGTTTCCTACTTTTCTCAAGGTGTTTAAACCAAATTCATCATCATCATCCAAGCCTTATCCCAACCATATGGAGTTAGCTACAGGAATCYAGTTTCACCATTCCATTCTGTTTAACGCCATATCCATTGTTACTACTTCTATCTATGTCCTTTTTGGTGTACCCTTAGCCCTTCTATCTCCTTCAACTTGCAACAAATCACTTCTTATGTGTGTTATTGATGGTCTGCTATGCATGTGACAAAACCATCTTAGGTTGCGTTTGGCATTCCTTGTTTTAAGGACTTATCTCCTTTTTGCTGTTAAAAATTCAGTGTTCATACAGACATTTTAACTGCAAAAAGGAGTCTTTAAAATAAGGAATGCCAAATGCATCCTTTGTCTACTTTCTCTCATTTTGTCACCTATTGGAGCTACCACCACACTCATTTTTTGACCAAACTGTCTTAGACCAGATTCATTCAGCATAAGTAAATCAGTTTACATGGATAAGGTTGTCAACAATGTTTTAAAAGGCGTGGGAGGCGTACGCCTCCAAGCGAGGTGCCCCCAAGACGCCCTGTGGCATACGCTAGAGGCACTGACACCTTTGAGGTGTATGCTTCAAGTGCAAGAGGTTTGTGCCTCATAAGCTTTTTTCATGAGGCGTGCTAGAGGCGTACGCCTCATGCACACCTTTTGTAAAAATATAGAAAAAAAAACAAAAAAGGAAAAAAAAAGGAAAGGAAAAGAAAAGAAAAGGAAGGAAAAGAAACGAAAAAGAAAGAAAAAGAAGGAGAAAAAGAGAAAAAGAAAGAAAATAAAAAGGAAAGGGAAGGAAAGAAAAGATAAGGGAAAAGAAAGTGGGCCGGGGGCTAAGCCCATAGACCACTTTGGCTGGGGGGCAACAGCCTGCCTTTTCGATGCCAGCCCAATTTGGTTTTTTTTTGGTGTTAGGGGGGTCTTGCTCCACTCCGGCTCGCTCGCCTCTGCTTTGACCCCCCCCCTCTTTTAACTAGTGTTATGCATCTTCATTCTTCTTAATATAAAAGATTTTTATAAAAATAAAGAAATATGACATTCCTTCCTCTTCTCCCTCCTCTTAAGTAGGCTTACACCTTGTGTTCGGGAGGCTTACACCTCTTACATTATGAACTATGCCTCATGCCTCTACGTAGTGGAATGCTTCRTGTCACGTCTCCACGTTTTAAAACATTGGTTGTCACTGCCTCATGGGTGGGCACTTGTTTCATACAATTTGGAATATGAGACTCTTTTTCTTTCTTTCTTTCTTTTTTTCTTTCCCACACCTCTATTTGTCTTGTTTTTTGCTTTCAATTCTTCATCAGGTCTAACCTAGGTCTTTTATTGATATGGAGGTAGTCAAGTAATTACCCCAGYCAATTAGATGAAAAACAAGTGGCTCGGAACTTTAAAAGGGAAAGAGCCAGAAATGATCTTAGTTTTAAGATAGATAAATGGACTTCTAAATCAGTCCATATAGATTTCTAATTTGGCCCATCCGGATGGTCCCATATATTAGAAAGAAGGTGTCTATGTGGGCTTTCTATATAGACCTATTAATTCGACCTTTAAGGAAAGACTTAAATGGGCTTTTAATCTGACCCAAATAAAAAGATATAGCTAGATACATCTTAATAGAGTAGTCTTCCTTTTAAAGGAACATATGATCATCAAGATTTAATTATCAAAACCATACAACTAAAACACATTTAGATTTGGCTATGGGACATTGTTAAGAGAATAAAAACCTATTTAGGGGCGTCCACCTAATGGGTTAAGCTTTTAGGTTGAACAGTTCCTTGACATGGTATTGGAGCATGTTTGACCAAGTGGTCTAGTGTCTGATCCTCGTCTCCACTATAATTAATTAAATTTCAGCACAAGGTATGGGTAGGTTTGTGCTTGTCCATGGCTCCACGCTTGAAGCCTGATGGGCTTTTGCATGAGGGGGTGTGTTAGAGAATAGAAACTTATTCATGGACCTTACCTAGCTGCTTAAGCTTTAGGTTGAACGGTTCCTTGACAGACATGAGTGACCATTGCTAGGTAATGCATTCTATTAGACAAAGTGCTCATACTAGGTTGCACATCTAGATTTAGTAGAGTGATTTGTCCTTTTATATGGTAGGACCATTACAAAATCCATCTTTAAAAGGGCCTTTTGTGTTTGTTGTCATTGAACTGTCTACTAGCTGTAAGAGGGGGTTCATTTGAAGGCCCCATGATCTTACACTGACAGAACAGAATGCTAGATGTCCATTGTTTATTGGTCAATCCAAAACTACGGAGTATGGACACTATAACACATAGTTACCTATAGATATGGACTTTATATTCATTTCTCAAACATGTAATCACCTCTGTTTTACCACTATATGCCTTCTATATGTCTTTATTGATATAATGTTTTATTCTGTCTACAGGTAATTTGCTACAGGCAGCGTTCTGGTATGGGCTTGTTGTCCATTTCAGAATCTACCCAATCATCTATTCCCTTCCTATTCTCCTAGTTCTGGATCCACATAACTTTCCACCTGGTCAGACTCCTGCCCTTGAAAAGTGGATTTCTAGAGAACAAAGTCCATCCCAGAGTTGCAGGAGTAAAAGAACAGATTTTTTTCTCCAGCCATGGATTCTTTCCAGTAGCATTCTGACAAGGAAAAGGATATTGTTTGGGTTTGTTTCTGGGGCATTGTTCTTCATTTGTACTGGTCTTTTCTTCCATCTCTATGGTTGGGAATTCTTGAATGAGGCACTGCTGTACCATCTTACCCGTACTGACCCAAGACACAACTTCTCCATATACTTCTATCACATCTATCTTCATCACCAACAGGGATTCTCAATAATGGAGAAGCTCATCTCTTTCTTCCCACAGTTGATGGTGCAGTTGGTTCTCGCCTTATGCTTTGCACAGGACCTCCCATTCTGCCTTTTCGTGCAGACAGTAGCATTTGTAGCATTCAACAAGGTTGGTTCCCATTTCATTAATGCAAATGATGTTCACATGATAACTTTTCAATAAAATAATGATCAGAAGCATGTTGAAAGTGCACTTTTCTTTAAATTTTATAGAAGTCATGACTTCATTATCTGTAAGTTGATCACTTCACAACTATCTGTCCTGGAGCTTAGTTATGTTCAAATCCATTTGACAGGTTATCACAGCACAGTACTTCGTGTGGTTCTTCTGCTTGTTGCCTCTGATACTGCCATGGAACAACATGAGGATCAAGTGGAAAGGTCTGGCAAGCATTTTCTTGTGGATGGGAGCTCAAACTCATTGGCTGATGTGGGGCTATCTTCTAGAATTCAAAGGCAAAAATGTATTTGTTCAATTGTGGTTGGCAAGCCTACTGTTCTTGGCTGCCAACACATGGGTCTTGATAATGATCATTCGTCACCAAAGATTATCTCCAGTCTTTGTACCATTGGGCAGCGTGAGGTTGAAAGATGCTAGAAAAGTTAACTAGAGGAACTTGTGTCCGATGGGTTTTTCTTCTCTTTCTTTTTTCTCTTTTCATTTGTTGTTACATCCTGTTGGCTATGACTAGAGTATTTGCAGAGAAAATGTAATTTCATATTTCCTGTTCTGGTTTGAGACCTGACTGTTGGTTATAGTTGATGTTTCTCAGTATAGAAAATTCTATGGTTTCACTGTTCCTGGCCAAGTGTTTCGAACATTGTATATGGTTGGCTTAATCAATGTGTGACACTCTACAAATACACGATAGGGTGTGACCTAAATATGTTGGTTGATCCCATTAGTTTTGTATTTTTTCTTTCATTTTATAAATGCAGAGAAGGCATGTGTAGTTGTCGCTAAGTCTAAACAGAATGGAATGGCGAAACAGGGTTCATGTAGCCGACTCCACGTTAATGAGATAAGCCTATGAGCTTAGATGATGATGATGATGATAACGAAAATGTGAGAGGGCACGTGCATTACATGTGGTATTAAGAGTTGATAAAAAAGATGTCCACTTCAAATAGATTTTCTGCATGTTACATAAGATGGGTGGGTTTATCAGAGCTACATAGGTGATTCAACTTTAACGTTTAAAAAATGCATTTGGTAGAGTAGATTCAACTTTAAATAGGAACACGACATGTTGGTTGTGTTTAGTTTATATTCAACGTGACACCATCCTACCATATCCATCTCTCTTCCAATGGTCAAATTTAAAAATAAATGATGATTGGTTCATTAATACACAAATTAACTCTAGATCTAATGTTTCATAGAATCAGAAAAGAACCTTTGTTTTGGAGGTAGGATTTAAGGATATTCAAGGGTATAAATCCATATTTGCTAATATATGATGCACTAGAATATATCTATATGTCACATAGTGCATAAGGGTCGCCTGTGGCACCTAATTGTGATGTGCTCACATATTTTATATTATATAAAAAGGGAAAACCTATGATATGGAAAAAACATGGTATCAGAAGAGTTTTGACCAATCAAAATATCCATGAATTTTGATAAATAGCACTTGACTAGCTACCACATTTATAATTCTGGTCAGAAGTTTTTCAGATATCAAATCTTTTCGATGTCATAATCGAATCTAAAAAAAATATTGTATTCCACATTCATGCCAATATATATCCCTGTTAAAAAAAGTAGGAACCCCTATTCCTCTTGAAGCCGACAAACAAATTGATTTGGATGAGTCTGCCTAAGGAGAATGTTTGAAGATAAAGCAAGGATAAATGTGAACAAGCCTATAGAGAAATGTGTAAAAGACTAGACAAAACGGAGAGGAGGTTTCATATCCTTTCCAATATGAACACTTACCTATTTTCTACTTCAGTTGTGGAAGGCTAGGTCACTGTGAAGTGAACTACAGGTTCATTACAAGGCAGGACCCTATTAAAGAGCTATCAAGGAGAATGGCTGTTTAGTCTATGACACATGAGAGTAGACTAGTGGAAGATGATTGACTAGCTAAGAGATGTTGATGCCCCTGCAGAATTAAAGCCCTTGAATGCTGCGACTAGAAAAGATAAGATAGTTGTAGAGAAGTAAGAGGGGAAGGCCAAACTCCGTCTGGTAACAACTCTGAGTCAACCAGTTATTCTAAGAAGATAAACCAGAATGCCATGGAGGAAGTTAAAAAAGTAGATGATGAAGGGCACCACAAGCTGACTCCTTTCTCATTCTATAGCATCTTTCGACCAGGGTAGAGGTTCCACGGTGCTCTTGACACAAAGGATAGAAGGCAGAAGATGGGAGGCCCAAGAATTGCCCATTTTAGCAACCGAGGGTTGGCTMGTTGGTGTATTAACTGGTTTTTTACAGTATTGGCACGGAATTGAATCTGCAACCAGTGGTGCATGGCACGAAAAAAAAAAAAAAGCACTTGCCAAACTTTAGTAGTGTTAATAATCTAGAGGTATATGGCTTTCTACAGTTGACCCCCCAGAAAAGGAAAACCTCGAATGTTATAATCGATGTCATTGAAGAGAACAATCAGGAAGTCACTTAGAAATAGGTTTTGCACTGCAAAGCAAGTAGAAGGTTGTGGAGATTGCTGAAGTGGGTTTAGACCTTGCCACCGTGGAAAGTTGGAAGTAGGAAGAAAAAGGAGACTTTGACCCATATTGGCAAGGACAAGAAAAGAAATGTAATAAATCGATTGGAGATTGGTGAATACTCAAACTAGGAGGTGAGTGGACCCACATTAACTCAAGGATTGAAAAAACAAAAATAGGATGATTTTGAAATTTATCAAGAAATAATGGAAACTTCAATAATGACATAGATATAAAAGATGATCTTGACAGTGTAGCCGGCCAGAGATAAGTGGAAGAGGAGAGAAGAGAAGAGAAGAGAAGAGAAGAGAAGAGAAGAAGAGAAGAGAGGAGAGGAGAGAAGAGAGAAGGTTTGCAATATAACAGTATTGGCGGTGCCAGTGTTTATTTTACTATATATAGGGCGACAAAAATAACAAGGGAAAAGACCCTTGTGCCCCTTAGTATAATAACAGACATAACAGAAATAAAAAACGAA